ACTTATTTGAAAAATTAAAACAAATCAGAAGTGTGTATAATAAAAAGTAAAAGCCTGTCTCTTATTCCTGTTGCACAGAGGCATCACTGATTACTTTTAAACATTTTTTTATTATAAAATTTTAAGTAGTAGCTTGTTTTATTAAATTTATTTATTTATTTCCAAAATAAATTATTTTGAAAGTCATTTGAAAGACACTAAGACTCCACGGATATAGATTCCAAATTCATATTCTGTCCAACCCTCATCACTGTCTCTGTCATGCCATTGGTTTGGTTTTTCAAGCTAAAGCTTAAGTGACTGTTATCACTGTCAAACCCTGTATATGAATAGTTATCTGTGTATTTATGTATAACTGTATGATCTGCCTCTGTGTCCTGAATCTGCTTGGCTCTTTCTCTGTTTGGTCATATGGGACCCTCAGTAGCACCCTCACTTCACCTCCCTCCTCCTTTCAGTGTTGTCTCTAGTCCCTCCTGGAAGTTCCAAGGGTGTCTCACACTGTGTTCAGGCCAGTGCCCAGCACTGATAGCATTATCGGCTGCCCTGGGCCCTCCTAAGGGGATTCTTTTTTTTGCCTCCCCTGCTGTTGGTAGTCTCTGTGGAAAGGCTTATCCCTTCACCGGAGTAAAAGTGGAGAGGTGTCAAAATGTCACTGGGAATGGTCAAAACATCATGTTGTGTGGAAGACGCCAGGCACAAAAGGTCATTTTGTGTGATTCCATTTATATGAAATATGCAGAATAGATAAATACATTGAGATAAAACACAGCCTGGTGTTTGTCAGGTTGTTTTGGGGAGATGAGAAATAAGTACTTACTAGGTACAGGGTTTCTAATTGGGGTGATGGACATGTTTTGGAACTTGATAGAGATGGTAGTTGTACAACATTGTGAATATACCAAATGCCACTGAATTGTTCAACTTACAGTGGTTAATTTTATGTTATGTGAATTTCACGTCAGTAAATTATTGTTTTTTTGTTAATCCTCACTTGAGGATAATTTTCCATTGAATTTTAGAGAGAGTAGAAGGGAGTGGGAGAGACAGGGAGAAACATCAATGTGAGAAAGACACATCAATTGGTTGCCTTCTGCATGCGAATGAGCCTGCAACCGAGGTACATGCCCTTGACCGGAATCGAACCGGGGATCCTTCAGTCCCAGGCTGACGCTCTATCCACTGAGCTAAACTGGTTGGGGCACATCAGTAAATTATTATTTTCTTAAAGACAGGAAAAAAGTACAGTCAAACCTTGATTCTTGAATGTCTCCCATCTCAAACAATTCACTTCTCAACCTGACAACCCTTTCATGCTGATACCTGTATGATCAGTCACATGTCTCAGACGACAAACAAAGGAGAGAATGTGCAAGTATGAGTCAATTTATCAGTGTTAAAATCACAGTATATTGTGCTGTGAATGTTTTCATGGTTTTTTTGCTTTTGTTGCTTATAATTATTAAATTTTCATTTTTTACTGTACATTTCCTTCCCTTTTTGTTAAATTTTCATTTCTATTTCATGTCCTTTTTGTTTTTAAAGTGTTCATTTATAGATTAAATATACATTAAACATGTACTGTATAAAAGAAAGGTTATAACAGGGAATCACTTGGAGGTCTGGAATGGATTAATTCAATTTAATGGGGAAAAGTGATTCGGTTTCAAACAACCTTCCGGAGTGAATTAAGTTCAAGAAACGAGATTCCACTGTATCTGTGAATTCCCATCAGACCAGTCCTGGCTGCCCACTGGCCTCATGCAGGGTTTCACTGAGTTTGGAGAGGCCACCCCCTTCTCTGCTCTGTTGTACTTTGTGGGCTGGGCTTCGCAGAAGTACTGTTTGAGCCCCAAGTTAGGGTCCCTCATGAAAACAGCTCTTTCAGCTTCTTTCCGAATCTCCCCTCTCTACAGTCCATAGGTTGGGGAGAGGAATAGATATCATCCTGTCCTCTTGTTTGTTTTATTCCCATCTCACCAGAAGGAAGATAAATAATAAATAAATAAATTAATTTTTAAAAAAGCAGAAGCCAATAGACTTTCATCAGATTCATCTAGATCCTGAATCTCATTCAGGGTTAGTCAGAATCTGGGATACACACATACTCTAGGAATCTCCCCCAGACACAGAGCCACGGACACTCAGGACACTCAAGATACACAGACCTCAGGATTTCTGAAGTTCCTAATTTATTAACTTATAATGAACTATAATGTTAAGAAAGACTGGACTCGTGGATCCTCTGGTTCATACATTCTCTCCCTGAAGAGCTAAGTTGTAATTGGAACTTGGTGAGCATGTAATTAGACCAACATAGAATGTTTTATTGTGTCATAAACTTAGTTTCCACCTTCTTTCTGAGAAAAAAGGAAAAGACTGGCTTTCTTGATTTTTAAATTATTGTAATAGTTTATCACTTTAGAATCAATTAGACTAAATAATATTCATTCCACCTCAATGAGGGAGTAACCATAAAAGAGGAAGACAAAGGATCTGGGAAACAGCTGCTCCAATATAGGAGAGAGAGCAGGGAATTCCAGAGGTGAAGAGGAAGAGACATCCTGGCAAAGGTGTCAGCTAATTAGCAGCCTGGAGTGCAGACGATCCCGACGGGAATAAGGGAAAACCCCTGAGGATGGTCTCCAGGCCTGGAATGAAATGGATAGATTATTTGAAGTGTTTGAACTGAGATAAAGGTGACTTACAGCTCTGTTGGAAAGTTTGAGGATGAATTGGTGAAAAATACATAATAAATACTAAGTCAAAAATATGGAGAGAAAGTAAAAGAAGAGGAAATAGTAATTGTTAGTTCCAGGGAAAACAAAAAAAAAAAATGCACAAAAAAAGAACTTTGATTATACTGTGCCTATCAAGTGAGGCTCTGAAAGGAATCTGAGGAAAAAGAACTGTAGACTAGATGTTACTATGAGGACTCCTTGCAGGTTCACATGGAGGGAGGGAGTGGAAGAGACGCTTGTGGTCTGAGACGGATTTCAGAGTTCATAGACCTGGGTGTGCAGCAGTACAGACTGATGGTGAGGCTCAGCCTTGGGTCCTGCCCATTCCCAGCTGAAGCAGGAAAGAGATGGTCACCTAAGACAGAGAGGATCGGATTTCTTAAGAGAGTTAAGTGTGCTTCCTGTTGTTTCATTGCTTCCTCACACTGTATTGTAAGTGACTGGTTTTGTTTGTCTTTACCACTAATCGGTAAGTTATTTTTAATGGCAAAAACTGTCGTCTTCACTATTATGTCAGCACAGCACCTAGCATGTAATATGTTGGATGAATTAATAATAGTGGAAGAAAGGTGAGGATATGGTGTAAGTTTTATGAATAAATATACTGAAACTTCTGAAGATGTGGTCAATGGGGAGGAATGGTGGAGGTAATCAAATTAAGTCCAGAAGTGTTCAAGAAATTTGTAGAAAAAATAAGTTAGGAAGCAGAGAGACTGGGCATGGACTTGAGGAAAACAGGAAGTGGCAATAAGGAGCAGTGATCTTTTTGAACTGTTTATTGCCTTATGAGATGATGGAGATGAAGAAAAGGTATGAATCCTGGTGAAGGAGATAGTGCCTTCTGGGAAAAATTTAAATCGCCACTTTAAGGAATCAGTGGGAATTTAAAGTGTACATGTTGTGGAAGACCAGGGCTTCCAAGCAAGATGGAACATTATATGTAAAGGCAGAGAGGGTGAGGAGTTTGTGTGTGCTTCATGGGTGAGTGAAGCAGGGCAGATAAGAAAAGATCACTTAGGCAAATGAATTGAACTATCCCTCAGGATAGGTGATAGAGTGCCATTGAATAATTTCAAGGCGAGTGATGTAATCAGATTTGCAATTTACCAAGTCCACTTCATGAAAGTGGTTTAGAAGATGGATTGAAATGAGATGGGACTCAGAAGCACAAAGACCAGTGAGAAGGCTATTATAGTAGTGAGCTTTAGAGAAGCTGGCTTTAACTATGGCAGTTAAAAGAGATTAGAAGGGGTGATGGATATGAGAGCTATTTAGGAGATAGAAGCCATGGTACTTGGTGATTAATAGGATGTGTGGGGTTAAGGAAGCTTGGAGAATCTTGTATGATTATAGGTTTCCTGTTGGGGATCTTAGTGAATGCTGGCACTATTCACAGAGATAAGGGATATAAAAAGGAGAGGAAATTTGAGGCAAGATGGTGTTTTGTTATGGCCCTGTTAAACCAGCCAAGTGGAGAAGACTGGTATGCAAAAGAAGGCTGGAGTTAAAAATTTGGAAGCCAGTATAGGGAGGTTATTGAAGCTGTAGGCTTTTAAAATTATTTCTTCTCATCATCATTATGCTAATTAGAAATTGAGTATAGATAAGCCTTTTGTTTATTTGTTGTTTGTTTAAACTAATAAGCAGAGGCTAAGGTTCACAATTTAGAGCTCTTTAATTGGAGAGGATGGTTAAAGATGAAGGATCAAGAAAATTTTATAATACAGTATAATTTGAAAAGTCATTTTTGTCTTTGAGGAAATGATTTAGGTTTCAATTTAATACATTTAAACAATTTGTCACTTATTTTCTAACTAAAGTCTGACATTCATACAATTCATAGAATGCGTAGTTCAGTGATTTTTTTTTTTCATGAATGTGTGCAATCTTACAACCAGAACTCAGATCAAGATCATCTCTAGCTTCTCATAAGGTTCCCTTGCAACATTTTAACCCTACTTTTTATTCCAGAAGTTTTAGATCACTAAGTAAACTTAGGATGGGAGCAGCCTCCCTCTCCTTGACAAAGCCCCGTAAGGTGCCCAATAAGAAGTTCTTAAAGAAGAATAAAAGTCAAAAGCTGGCTTTCCAACTTGGTCCAGCATAAGAAGGGTGGTGAGAAGAAGGGCCATTCTATCATCAGCGCAGTAGTGACAGTGAGGGAGAATACACCATCAACACTCAAGCGCATCCATAGAGTGGGTTTCAAGAAGCGTGCCCCTGGGGCACTCAGAGAGATCCAGGCATTTGCCATGAAGGAGATGGGAACTCCAGATGTGTGCATTGACATCAGGCTCAACAAAGCTGTCTAGTCCGATGTGGTCTGCAAGGGCAGGCTCTGGCACTTTGGAGTGAGTTACACCATAGTTACTGGCTGCTGCTGACCTGTGGTGCTTGCCTTTGCAGGTGGAACAGGAGGATTTTGTAATGGAAGGGCATGGCAAGACTCCACCTCCTGGTGAAGAAAGCAAACAGTGAGTCACACTTTATTTAAAAAGGGTCTTATTACAGATCTTCAAAAGCACTTTGGTTAAACATGCTGAGAGCATGTTTGCAGGCATGTATATGTTGGGCACATTGTGGAACTCACCAGTTGCTTTGGCTGCTGTTAATGCATTGCTTCTATTTATAGACACACTAACTGGAGGGACAAGAAAGTTGGCTTTGTAGTTTTTCATACTTGAGTAATCGGAATTTATGTTACACTTTAGCAAAGGCTTTAAGAGGATGTTCCAAATGGAACTAATTCAGTCGGGTTGATTTCCAAAGAAAGCACAAACTTGTATATCCTTTCCTTAGCAGTGTCTTTATGAAGTGATGAAATTAATAGGATGTTTTCTTGCATTCCAAGTGTGAATTTATTTGAATAGTACTTCCTGAAATTCTTTTCCATTGAGTTATTTATACTTCTGATCTTTGTTTAAATCACAAATTGTTTCCCTAGGAATAGGATTTATAAATAATGTAACTTAGCCAAATAATTCTGAATAATTCAGGATCTCTTCCTTCCTGATTTAAAAGTGATTAAGTTTTAAATCTGAAATTGGGAGTCCTCTGGGTAGCTTTTGGTGGTAATGAGTAGTTTTTTTTGCCCTCTGTCACAGACCTTGAAAATTTGTGTTGCAGAGCATACTGGTGTTTCATATGCCCTGTTCAAGAAAAAGATAGTTAAGCCCGAGCCGATTTGGCTCAGTGAATAGAGCATCGACCTGTGGACTGAAGGGTCTCAGGTTTGATTCTGGTCAGGGGCACATGCCTGGGTTGCAGGCTTGATCCCCAGTTAGGGGCATGCAGGAGGCAGCCGATCAGTGATGCTCTCTCATCATTGATGTTTCTGTCTCTCTCTCCCTCTCCCTTCCTCTCTGAAATCAATAAAAATATATTTTTTAAAAAGATAGTTAATAGGACTGATATCACTACTATTATTTATTCAGACAGTAGTCTCCTAACTTGAATGGTTCAGTGATTCATGGAATTTACTGAAAATCTGTAGAGAAATTGCATTCCTTCGACTTTTTTAGTTTCTAGAAAATAGTTTTTAGTTTTGGTCTGTCTTAGGAAAATTATGTCTTGCAGCCCTTAGGAATGAATTATGCAGAATAGCTATGCTGCCACATGGCCAGGTTCATTAAAGGAGAATGTTCATCTCATATTTGTTGTGAATGGAAACCAGGATATTTTCACAGCTGTCTTAATTTGCTAAGCAGGCAGTTTTAAAAATAGCTTACGGTATAAATCCTAACTTAGCTGTATTCTGTCAAATGCACTTATATTCTGCATGGGCTGTTGGAATCTATTTATCTTTAACAAATTAGAATACCAAACATCTAGTCCCAGTGAAATTACAGGAACACTTCAGGTATTTCTTTCTGCCCCTCTGCCCACTTCCCAAACCCTACACTCTACTCTTGTCAGAGGTCTTTATAAAAAGCATAGCTCTCGTTTGACAGGGGTTTTCTGTGCACAGAATACTTTGCTCATTACAGTGTCTCTATTGAATTCAGAGATCAGGGTAGCTAACTTGCTCATGGTAATGTAGCTTGAAATTGAAGTTAGGATTTGAACCCGGATCTTTCCGACTTTAAAGTGTTCTATAGTATCTCTTAAACACAAATCCTTTGTCAACCTTGGGAGCTATGTTCCTGAAAAATACTATAGTTAGCAAAATGCAGTTGTCAAGATCAAAGTCTCATGGATAAGAGGTAGTTGGGGGAAACAATGAAAATGGCATTAAGCCTATTTTTAAAACACAGATGAAAGTTCTATTCTCTGGAGGGTATCCATTTCTCAAACAAACCAGTCTTTATCTTTAAAAACCTGCTGCAGTAACCCCTCTCCTGAATCGGCTTCTTTAGGTATTCAGGAAACATAGCTGGGGCAGATTCTCCCACAAGTTTTATGTTATACAAACTGCACTTCTTTTGGAGAGCGTTTCAAACAGCCACAGTGGACCCGAAACGTCATGTGTTGTAGTCTTAACCATTCTCCCTTGTTTTGTATTAACAAGTCTTATACTGCCTTTTCACAGACGAATCCTGTTTTGTTTTTCTGGGCTTGGTCTACAATCATACATCGAAATGAGAAAGCAGAACTAAATCTTCTCACGAGGTGTTTTTCCCATAAACCTACCCACCTCTTCTGTGGAAGTAGGGAACAGAGGTGCTGTGTTCTTGTTTTAGGCAACAGAAATAATTTTTTTTTTTGGTATCTCATAACTGTAGTCAGCAAAGGATGATTGACTCATAGAATCTACGTTGTAGATCCTGAAAGTGACACATTACTGAATAACTTAATGCAAATTCCCATTCATTCTTTTATTATTTTTTATTCCTCACCCAAGGATATTTTTCCATTGATTTTCAGAGAAAGTGGAAGAGAGAGGGAAAGACAGATAGAAACATCGATGTGAGAGAAACACATTGATTGGTTGCCTCTTGCTCACGCCCTGACCAAGGGTTGGGCTGGGGAGGAGCCTGCAACAGAGGTATGTGCCCTTGACCAGAATTGAACTGGGACTCTTCAGCCAAGGGCTGAAGATCTATTCACTGAGCCAAACCGGCTAGGGCCATTCTTTTATTTTTTTAATTATAAAAGTAATACATGATTGTCATAAAACATTTAAACAGTAAACGTGGATTTGGAAATAAAAGTGAGATTCTTCTTTTATGCTGTTTCCCCTACTAATCTTCCTATTTTCTGTATATTTTAAAACAACTAGATTTTTTCTGACATAATTCTTCTGTAATGTGCTTTTTAAATTTGACACCTTTTGCAGTCTATTTCAAACAAAAATCTTATTTAATAATGTGTTTTATAGACAGTATCCATATTTTAAGAATTGTTGATAAAATTAATTGTATCAATTCCTATATTTCTACTCCCATGGAATGCCTCCCCCGCCCCTTTTTAAGGGGGAATCTGTTCAGAGCTTTCATAGGAGTCCTATAAGGAGATCAAAGTGTTGAAGACAGTTTTATATTGATTCAGAGAAGAGAATGTAATTTGTGGAGTAAGTACTGATCTTTATTCCCAGTTTGGTGTAATATGGCTTTGTGCTTGAGGTGTTATTTTTTAAAATATCTTAACTCCAATATCTTGATTAAATTCTCTTCTTAATACATAAATTCTTCCCAACTTGAAAGGTCTAGTTATAAAAAGCCCTTTTGATTTTTCTGAATTATTAATTATACAGATCTTTTGTAAATTCTAACAGTTTGTCCTTACCTTATCTTTATTTCTGTTCCTATTCTAACTCCTTAACTTACAGCTCTATTTTCCTTGAATTCATCTTATACTAAAGTTTATTCTCCCCAAATCTCTATAGTAAGAATTCCTTTTATTAGGATACTAGAGGCCCGCTGCACGAAATTCATGCACAGGTAGGGTCCCTAGGCTTGGCCGGCAATCAGGGCCGATTGGGGCCTTCCGGCTGCCTGCCGGGGCCTTCCTTTGTTCTGCGCCACCCCCTGGTGGTCAGCACACATCATAGCGAGCGGTCGAACTCCCGGTCAGTCGAACTCCCGAGGTGACAATTTGCATATTAGCCTTTTATTATATAGGATTCTTTGTGTTATATTTGACCACCCAGTTTAACCATTCATGTGGGTGCTTGTTTAAAAATTGTGTCTGGGTGGCTTAATTTGTTGGAGTGTTGTCCTGTACACCAAAAGGTTTGATTCCTAGTCAGGGCACTTATCTGGTTTGCAGGTTTGATCCCAGGTCGGGGTGTGTGTGGGAGGCAACCAATCAATGTTTCTCACATTGATATTCCTCCCTCCCTCCCTCCCTCCCTCTCTTTCTCCTTTCCTCTACCCCCTCCCTGCCACTCTCTCTAGAATCAGTGAGAAAAATTTCCTTCATTGAGGATTAACATACATACATACATACATACATAAATAAATAAAACATATCCTTGCCCAGCTGGAGTGGCTCAGTGGTTGAGCATTGACCCATGAATCAGGAAGTCATGGTTTGATTCCCAGTCAGGGCACATGCCAAGGTTGCAGGCTCGATCATCAGTTGGCAGCCAATCAATGATTTTCTCTTATCATTGACTAGAGGCCCGGTGCACAAATTCGTGCACAGGTGGGTCCAGCTGGGGAGAGGGGATGTGGGAGGTTGGCTGGCCAGCCCGGCCCCCGATCAGGGTAGGGGGGGCCAATCAGGGGTGGGCCCAGCTGGGAGGAGGGGCCACAGGCATTTGGTGGGCCGGCCCCACCCCGATCGGGGGGGCAAGGGCCGGTCGGGGTGGGTCAGGCCAAGGGGAGGGGCTGCGGGGGGTTGGCCGGCCAGCCCTGCCCCCTGGTCGACCTCCTGGTTGAACTCCCAGTCAAGGGGACAATTTGCATATTAGCCTTTTATTATATAGATGTTTCTCTCCCTCTCTCATCTTCTCTGAAATCAATAAAAATATACTTTTTTAGAAAACATATCCTCAGGTGAGGATTTTTAAAAAAAAAATAATATTTCCAAATCACTTATAGATAATTATCATCAAAACACAAGCCATAGGAAAGGTTGTTTATTAAAAAAATCATTATATTTTCTGCATTCTACCATCAGTTTTCACCACTGTTTTTCCTTTGAACCATTAAAATTTATACATGTTGAAATAAACTTATTAAGAAGTACCAAAGTGAATGATTGAGTAAATTCATTGTTATTACCCAGCAATAAGCTGGACCTCAGAAGAATAGTTGGATTTCTATATAATCTTACCAGATTGTTTTTGGGAGAAATGAAATGAGTTTTATTTTCCAATTAATGGGTGTTTTGAAAATGTCACAAATAGGTTCAATAGATGATAGTTATGTTCATGGAATTTTTGCTGCTGGGAATTTTAGAATAACCATAAACATTTGTACTAGGTCTTTGGGAAACTTTCAGTTGCTAATAAATTTTCTAATTTGCATTTGAAGTTACTTTAAAAAATTAATTCTTTGAAAACGTATTTTTCCCCAGGAGTCTCAGAATC